CAATGTGCAAGCCAAAGTCAGCGAGGGCTTGCTTCTACTTAGTCCCGCAGATACTGTATTACTACCACAGAGGAAACATCTTTCCATTGCTGTTGGGGCGAGAGCCTTCTGCTTCAAGGGCGGAGCTAAGGCTGGGCCTCTGGAAGACTGGAAAGGCAGCATTCAGCTGAGTCGAGCGCCCTGACCTAGGGGCAGAGTCACTAGTTCCGAATCACACCTATCGTTTCTTACGTGTGATCACAGGCTGGAGGTTTGGTCTGTCTGCACTTCAGAATAACCGTGCAAACTCATGGGCCAGTTGTGAAGGTTAAAGGGAGCCAGAGTGTGTAAAAGGCCATCAGACATCAAAGCCAAAGACGGTGCTGTGCTTATTGTTGCATCCCTTCCCTACACTGGCCTATGTCAAGTGCAAATGCTTGCGAGTCACCTACTGCGTGCCAGTGCTTCTCGCACACTAGAAAAACTCACCTGCACTTTCATGCACTTGCATGTATTTCTCACACACTAACTCTTAATTCTCACAACAACACTATCTCTTTACCCCCTTTAAGATAAAGAAAGGCTCAGAGAGATCAAGGTCATCCACTGTAAACCCAGGCGGTCTTTCTACATAGTAGAGGCTCGGTATTTGTTAAACGGATAAATGTAAATAGTGAGAGTTCAGTGAATGTTTACTGAGCAAGTGGGATGTAGTAGTTGAATAACAATTTAATGTTCTTGAGAAGGAATGCACTATCATGAATTTTTTCTGTTGGAAGAAAAAGTCCTTGCAAGTGTAACTGGTTTCCATGACCACAGGTTAACTGGTGTGGGGGGCACCTTTCCTCGGTCATGAGAGTGGCCCCCAGGGCAGCCACCCACAGCATCGAGGGCCAGTCTCTGGAGAGGCTGACAGGAAGAGCATGCCTAGTGCCTCCTACTTTCTCTGCTCCCTTCTCTCCCACGTGGCTTGTGAGAGCGTCTGCTGAGGCTGTTTGGGGACCGCCTGGTGACACACACCGTAAGTAGTCGTAGCTCAGGGTGGCTTAGGCAGGTGAGTTTTTCTCGGTGCTCTGCCCTGTCCCCATCCCCTGGGGCACTCCCACACCTCTGGTCCCCATCCTCAGCTGCAGTACCTCGCTGCCAACCCCACCCACCCCCATCACCACCTGTGGTCAACAGCAGTCCTGAAGGAAAGAATTCTAACAATGAAATCAAACACATCAATGACAAATAAGGAACTCCGCACGAAGACATGTCATTGACTCATAGCTTAATGAGTGTGTTCTTCCTCTGAGGACATTAATAGGACATTGGTCAACTCCGAGAGGTCAAGCTGACAGGCCAGCAGGGAAGAGTTGGTTTGGGAAGGAAGAGTGACAGGTGACATCTTCGATGGAGGCCACTTAGCCTTCCTGCCAGGCCCTGCGTTTCATCCTCTCAGTGATCCTGTCCCCTCTGCAGCTGTGGCCCCCCTCGGCCCTCCTCCATGCCTTCCCTCCCTCCCTCCCTCCCGCCGTCCTCTTTCCCACCTTCCAGGAGGGCTGCACGCCCCTCAGTGCCTTCCAGGCCACGGGAAGCCAGCCCTAGAACTGGGCTTTGTGGACATAGTGCATTCAAATCATGCCAGATTCCAGAACTCATATGTCTTATAAATACCAGCAAGTTCAACACTCTTCTAGAACAGAGGACCTACTAAACGTTAACCTCTAAACTAGCACCGTCCAATAGGAATGTAACGGAAGCCACAAGTATGTGAGCCACGTACACCACTTAGGATTTCCTGGCAACCACATTAGAAACGTAAAAAGAAACAAGTAGAATCCATTTTAATAATATATTTTATTTCACCCAATGTGTTAAAGTCATTTCAACATGTAATCAATGTAAGTTACTAGTGAGACAGTTCACGTATTTTTTTCACGCTGAACTTTGAAATCCAGTTTTGCTCTCAGGGTACAGGTCAGTTCAGACTGACCACGTTGCCAGGGCTCAACAGCAACTTTGGCCTGTGGCTACCGTGTTGGGGACTGCAGCTCCAAACTCTTCACGTCTTTTCACGCTTTCTTCTAACTTCTCTAAACAGTCACATACATTTTCGCATGTATCCAACCTAACCAGTGTTCAGTATTGCTTGGATTCTTTCCCCCTGAATTACTGTAGAGAGGCATATATATCACATACTGTATTTGCATGCTGTGCACATGTCACATGTTTTTATATGTTGCATGTATCACACATATGGAAATACACATTTATCTCTATGATTGGTTTGGCCCACATCAATGCCCTAGCATTCGTAAAACCGACTTCACGATCTTCTGCTGTGTTATCAGACTGATTGCTTCCACATTCTCCTATGGGGCGTCTGGGTAATTTACCATTGTTCTCTGTGAAAAGTACCGTGGCTGCCCATGCTTTTTAAAATAAGGGCGGGATTCATTGTTTAATTTTCTACTACCCTCCCTCCCTCCTTCCTTAGTCTGCTGCCTCATCCGGGATCAGTCCGCTCTCCTACCATAACAAGGGCTACCGGCGGGCATCTCTGTCTTCTGTGATCAGTTCAAGTCAGGCGCCGGCCGGGCCTCCAGCAGTTAATTGACGAATGTGAGCAGGAGGAACAAAGGATGGTGGTAGGAGATGTTAAGCAAACAGCTTCTTTCATAAAGGCTTTTGCAGGAGAAAGGAAGGCCCCTCGTTGCGCAGCCTAAGGAGGATGTAACAGCACACGAGGAAACCCACGCATAAATATGGATGTAGTTCTCCGCACAGCCCCAGTGACTCGAAGACAACAATGAAAATACTATTATGGCTCCTATGACAAAGGTGATGGGCTGGATCTAATTAGGGATTAAATCTGAAATCCCCAGTACATACCCAGCGCCTTGGGAACTTGACAAGCTGCCATCACTGCGGCGTCCCTGGGAGAAGCAGCGCTGCCTCTAATGGGGAGGGGGCAGCGGGGGACCTGCCCACAGCGAGCCACTTAGCACAGCGCTAATGAACAGGGAGGCCTTCTAAGAGGGGGCTGGAGCGACGGTGTCAATTTCCCTTTGTTGTGTGCACATCAGCCAGCATCTCTGCAGGGGCGGGGACTTGTCAGCGAGGAGACAAGTTGCTAGGTAACCAAGAACTATGAGGAAAGCCCCCTCCCCCCACCCCCAGGGAAGCAGCGTGCCAAGAGGGCCCCAGGAAGGATTAGGCTGTTAAAAAACAAAACAACTACAGCCTTTAAGATGGCAAGATTAAGTGCTACCTAAGGAGTAGCAGGCTGCTACTTTTTGTTTGGTTTTGGAAGGGGAAGGCTGGTTGGAAGAGAGGGGCCGTGATCTAGGAGCCGAAGGAGAAGAAAGGGAAGGAAGAAACAGGCCCGAGAGCAAAGGAGGAGAGAGTGTTCAAAAGGGAGAGAGGGAGGAGACAGGGGGAAAGAAAGCGCCCGGAAGCGACCCCACAACAGGACGGTGCGCGGGTGTGTGTGTGTGGGGGGGTGCTCCCCGCGCTCCAGGGGCCTCGGAGGGCTGCAGCGATCTAGGGGAGAAACAGGCTGAACTGCGCACGGTCTCCAAAGCAGCCCAGCACCTGGAAACTAGTTGGAAAGTCGGCCAGCCCCACCCGCAGGCCTCCCGCATCAGGACCCCTGTTCTAACAAGCCCTCCAGGTTGACTGAGAAATGCACGGGAGTTCGAGAGCCACCGCTGCTCGGGAGGAAGAGGGCTTTGGAAGGGGCGAGGACAGGGTGTCAAAGCACAGATTGCGTCCAAGTTCGCTAAGCGAGGAGAAGTCCATTCATTCAACGCGGTGCCGTGAGGGATCGAGGCCAGAGCTCAGTCTGAACTCAGCTCTCTGGCAGCAGAGGTGGGTGGGGGGACGGGACTAAAAGGCCCCGGTGAGCTGACGAAAAAGTAGTGGAGGGCTGTGGGAGAGAGTCCTAGGCCGTTAGTGTTTCCTGACCACCCTGTATGGCAGGAGTTGGGAGCGAGGTGTTCGGCCGCAGGGAGGCCCCTAGCCTCCCACGGAGCCTGGGAGATGGAGGAACCGGCCCGTTTGATGGTTTCAGGTGATGGTTCCGAGGTCCCAGAGAAGGACATTCTCTGGGTCGTAAACTCAGTAGAGGCTTTTCAGCAAGTTGACATACGTCTCTGAGGCACAGAGAAAGGATTTGCAATGACAAGTTCTCGAATGAAAATCTCCAAGAAGAGGGAGGTCAGGTGGTTGGCCCAGTTGGAAGGGAACCTGGAAAAGCCGGCGTTCGGGCGGCCTGTCACCACCAGACCCAATGAGCAGAGGCAGGGACTGAATCTGTGCGGGCGTCTTATTCAGATGCCGGTGATCAGAGAAGACGGTGGGTAATGTACCTGAACAGACTGTCCTTTCAAGCCAGCTTTTTAATATGGGGGGAGGGGGTGTAGATAAGGGATTCGGAATTCAGGAAAGAGGTTAATCAGATAAAAGCTGCAGTCCAGCCATTTCCCCAACCCCCTTTCATCCGCTGACCTGTGATTTTCTTCATCTGTGTCCTGTGTCCTGTGTCCTGGGCGGCGGACTGTCTCACCCTGGAACACAGCGGCTCGGATCCCACCTCGATGGCTCACAGTCTCTCCTGCAGCACTGCGGTGACGCTGCCCGTGGTCTCCTTCCTTCAGGGTGGGCCGTACCTGCGGTTCCTGAAACAGTGGCTTTTCCATGCGTTCACTACGGAGTTTATTCACTGTTACCTGAAACTAAAGTTCCCCAACTCTCGGGCCCCCCCACCATAAGGAAGCAATAGCAGGCCGCCTCGGCGAGGGGGCAGGCAGCCCCCGGGCACAGTCCAGCCTCGCTTGTGCCCTCTGTGAGCTGAACTGAGTGCTCTCTCTCTGAATTCTCTTTTCCCTTGGTGCTCGTCACCCAGCACCTCACTCCGTGCTACCCAACCCTGGTGGAGGTGACGGCGGGGGGGGTGGTGTAGGAGAGCTCAGCCCAGAAGGTGACTTCAGCAGGGTGGTGGGGTGGGGTGGGGGGACGGGTCCAGAGCACCAGCCTGTGCGGAGTCTCCTCCCAGCTGTGCTGGGTTCCTTTCCTTGGGGGGGAGGGGACAGCCCAGGAGGACACGCAGGCAGGAAGGGCAGCCTGGCTCTCATTGGCTTGCTTCTGTCCTGTTGGCTTGGTTCTCTCCAAAGGTTCTCTGAAGAGCCGGTAACGTTTGCTTGGAAGAGCGTGGCTGAGGTTAAGACAACAAGTCAGCCACGCCAGGTCTCTTCTGCCGCACGACAGCTGCAGCTGCCCTAGGCCGACCCCGGAGGGACTCGGCCAAGATGGATTGCCTTCCGAGACAGATTTACGGCTAGGCTTCCTGCCTCCAACTGTGGCGTTCCGGGGCCGGGGGCGGGGGGCACGGCCACCCTTGTATCTGGGCTTTCGAAGTCCTCCCAGGAAGGCTGGCTTTCCTCCCTCCCCCATTGTCTGCTGTGTCCACGGTAGCTGGTGACTGATTGGGGTCGAGCTGTTCCGAAGGACAAACAGGCTTTTGCTCGTGACCTTTTAGATAACCTGCCCTTTTTTTTTTTTTTTTTTTTGCCTTTTCTTGGAATGCTATGGAGACAGCTGCTCTGGAAACCCAGCCAAGAGGCCCTGTGTGGGGCCTTGACTATCGTGTGTGGGAGGCCGCGCAGGGCCTCTCTTCCCAGTCGTGGCCACCCCTCCCCCCAGCACCTTTGCTCAGCCAGCCTGCCTCCTGCCCAGAATGAGCAGGTGCACTGCCGGGGCCACGGGGGCTGCCGGGGCCATGCCCTCGGTGCCCCCGATGCTCCCAGCCAGCTCACCCCAGCACTAGTGTCTCCTGCAGCCCACCCGGTGTGTGAGGTGTGCTGGGCCCACCCAGTGGGAAAAGGCTGTGACGATGTCCCCTGTTACCTGCTTGTGTGTCCCCCCGGACTGTGGGCTTCTCAGGGCAGGGCTGAGCCCCCCCAGGTGCCCGCGTCAACGCAGCAGTAAGAGAACGAGTGTGGGTCGCCGGGACTCCTCTTGTCCACTCTGCGGTGGCCTCCTCCCATCTTTTGCTCCATCCGCGGAAATGTTTCTGAGCTCCAGAGACAAAGAAAACCCTGTGCTTCCTTTACCCTGCCTAGGACTTTGAGAACTGCTGTCTGAAGAACGCTCAGACGATTGCTGATCTTTGTAATATTGATGGGCATTAATTTAATAATAAAAAAAACCGATACCAATGGGGAAAGGCATCATGTAGCACATGGTAACACTTTTTTTTTTTTGGTTAAACTGCTAACAGTGCCACGCATCCAGGGGAAGTGCCCATTTGTGAAAAAAGTGTATGGCATGGTCACACCCACACTTTAGAGCCACGATAAAAGATTCATGGACCCGCACCATAAATAATTCACGGAGGGAGTTATTTACTGAGCGCTGACCGTGTGCATGGCGGGCACCAGGCCAGACAGAGGAGTGCTGAGGCCTCGCCGAGCGCCTCCTGCAGGGCTCCGCGGGCGAGCTGCCCTGACGGTGAGCGGCGCCCAAGGAGCCTGGGACTGTGCACACGCAAATAACCTTTCCAGGGCCAACGGCACGGAGAGGCGCATTTAGAAGACACCGTTCTAAATAAAAGTAAAACAACACCATTCAGTGGTTCCCACTTTCAACCGTTCTTCCTGTAGAACGAAGGAACTTTCCTTATGACATGAACTCTGAGCACAGCCAGAGGAGAAGCTGGAGGCATGGCTTTGAGCCTTCAGAGGGAAGGCTGGAAACCAAGCCTCCTAAGTGTCTCTTCATCGCAGCGGATTCTAAGGAGTAGGCGGGGATGCTCTCGGAAGCATTTGCATTGCAAGGCAGGCTGGAAACGGGCCTTGTTCAAACAGACACCCCTGGCAGGGCCGCCCTCGGTTGCCCACCCTTGTTGGCAGCCGCGACCTGCTGGTGATAAAAGAGCCAGCCACGTGAGCGATGCAGCTGAAAAGGAGCCTCTGAGCTACCCGACTGTTTAGGAAAGTAATGCAGTTCCCCGCCCTCCCCCCACCCCCGCCCCACCCCGCAAGGTTAGAAGTGAGAGGAGGAGGGTGGGTGAGTCTGTGAGCCACGCGGCACCTTGGGTGACACACCACTTCGGGCCCATTATGTGCTCACAAAGAGAGACGCCAGGTACCCTCGCTGCTTGCTGCTCGCGGCGGTTCTTCCAGCCTCGGCGAATCCTTCCTAATCCCCGTCGGAGGGTCACAGCCAGGCGTCTCCGCAGAGCGGCCTGGCGGGTCCTTAACAACAGGGAAGGTTCTAAAGCTTCTTTTGATGGCGGCATCAATCAGAAAGTAAAAGATCCCCCAAAACCAAAACCTCCATGACTCCCACCATAGAAATTTAGTTATCTAAACTGGATTATTGAACAACTAAGCGAACCTTTGAGAGGACTATGAAATGACTCAAGATTGAGGCAGAGAGCTCCCAACTCAAATAACTGCCTTTGTTTGAGGCCAAACAGTGGCCTCATTCTGACGCCAGCGCCAGAAATGCAGGGGATGGAAGGCAGCAGACAGGGGTGTGGGTGCAGGGCAGGGAGCAGGGCGGCCTGGCCCTGTAGGAGCCAGTGTCCTTGTCGTGTGACAAGTCCTCTTATGTCACATTCCTCCCCTTCTCCCTTTCCCTCTCCAGGTAGGCCTCTGGAGACAGAGCTACACAAGATGGCGAAGAAAACTCCAGGCTCTGTATCCTGGACAGAACCCTTCCTTCTTTTATTTATTTGTTGATAAATTATTTTTCCTGTATTAGCTAATTTCGTCACAGTGCTGGAGGCTGAAAGTCTATGGCGAATCTCCCGGTAGGGCTGGTTTCGGGGGAGAACTCTCCTGGCTTGCCGATGGCCACCGTGGCCTGGTGTCCTCAGGGGGCCTTTCCTTCCCGCTGTGTGCACGCACCCCGGGTACCCCTTCTCCTTCCTCCAAGGCCGCCAGTCCTGTTGGAGCAGGGCTCCGCCTTTACGACCTCACTTAACCTAAGTACCTCCTCAAAGGTCCTGTCTCCAGACAGGATCTCATGACCTGTGAGTACTTCAACAGTGGCTCTTGGGCAGGGCACAGTTCAGTGCACAGCGCGTCTCCTTTGTCTTCCTTCCACCGTTGCAGACCGGTCCTTTCTGCTTCTCTCCCCCAGAGCTCTGTCCAGGCGATCACTCGAGGAAGGGCACAGTGGGCATTGCCCGGGGCACACCGCGGGGAGAGCTGGGTGCCGGGAGGTGCCCTTGTCAGGGTCCCCTGGGGGCAGGCAAGTGTAAAATAACGTGATTGCAGAGCAGAGTCCGGATCATGTCATGGAGGCTGGGTCTGAGTGGCCACCACACTGGCCTTCTCCTTTCACCCCCAGCTCCGAGCAAAGGAGAGGCGCAGTCCTTCTGCCCACCTTCCCTTCCCATTCCCTCCCCACCTAGCCCGGCTCTGACCATGATTGTGGGACGGTTTGCACGGAGATGCCGAAAACGGCCTGGTAACTGCCTCCCTGGGTCACGTGGTAAGGCAAACACTCCTGGGTTTCTCCGCTGCTCTTACCCCAAGACATCCCCGGGTCACCTCTGACCCCCGAGGTGCGGGTGGGTTCCCACACTGACCAACTCTGCAACACCCGCTGGGTGTCCTGTGATTCCCTTCGGGTCTGACGCTGCCTGGGGGAAAGGGCTCAGTCCCACAACGCTGCCCCCACTGCGCATGCCTGGCGCAAGTCCAGGCTGCCACCTGTGCTTCTGACCCACCGGCTGCAAATGGAAGCTTCCAACAAACACCCTTCTTTTGTTCAATCCATTTGCTAGAGCAGCTCACCAAACTCAGGAAAACAACTGACTTTTAGATTCCTGGTTTATTATAAAAGGATACTACTCAGGAACAGCCGGATTGAAGAGAGGCATCAGGCAAGGTATGTGGGAAGGGGCGAGGTGTCTCCATGCCCACTGAGCCCCCGCGTGTCCAGCGACCTGGAAGCTCTCTGAAACCCACCATCTGGGTTTCAGGGAGGCTCATTACCTAGACCTGATGGGCTAAATCATTAGCCATTGGCGACTGATTCAGCCTCCAGCCCCTCTCCCCTCCCTAGTGTGTGTGTGTCTGAAAGTTCCAGTTTTCTGGTCAAATGGTTGATCTCAAGGCAACAAGCCCCCATCCTTAAGGGCTTCCTAAGAGTCACCTCATTAACATACACCCAGATGAGGTTGAAATGGGTTTGTTATACATAATAACACATTTTTTTCCACCTGTATAGCTCTGGAACTATCCCCAAAGTTTTAGGAGCTCTGTGTCAGAAACTGGGACAGAGACCAAGTGCACGTCTCTTATTGTAAATCACAGCATCTTGTACACACACTTCATTCATTCACTTGGCTGAGCCTCACATTCACACACAGCCCAGCTCCCCGGGTTCGAGTGCCGGGGGCCTTGCCGACAAACAGACATCTGGTTCTTGGATCATCTTTTTTACCAGACTGGGTTGTGGGATTGCACAGAAAAGTTTGCGCCTCTTGTATCCGAGCTAGAAAAGTGCTTCTCAGATTTTAGACACCATCACCTACATGATGTCATTTCATCCGGGGTAGCAGGAACAGGAGACAGGTGTTAGAACAATTTCCTGTAATTACACATTTTGAGGGAGGAAATCGGTGGCTCTGTTCATTAGGACAATACCAAAAGGTGGGTAACCCAGGGAGGCAAGAGGTGTGAAACGACAGAGCTGCTGCGTGTGTGAGTGCCCACCGCACGTGAACTTGAGAGCGTGACCCTGGAGGCTGGCAGTAAGGTGGGGGTGGGGGGCCAGATGACCTGGAGAGGGAGAAGGGCGGGGCAGAGCCTCTCTAGAGGGAGGCGACCTGCTTCAGACGGGCAGAGCTGGGGAAACCTAAGGGGGAAAGTGATCCTGGAGAAATTCCTGTTGAGAGCCCCAGGATGTCACGTGTGATCTTCTGTTTTATGTCTCTAGCCTCGTGTGCTGCTGTGGTCTCCTCTTTTACCCACAAGTATCTGGTCAAGGTCGGTTACACACAACAGCTTTGTGCCGATGGGGCTTGGGGATGGAGGAGTCCCTGTGACCGTGCGTGCAGGGGAGGGAGAGGACTGCAGGCAGAGAAGAGGGCAGAACAAGCTGGACCCCCAGGCTCCAAGCCTCGCCCAGAGACGGGAGACCCAGACCCGTCAAAGTCTTGGGGTGGGTACCAGCCTTTCAGCCCAGGTAGACAACCCACTCAACAGCCCGACCTTACGGTCCCTGCCGTCATTCCCGCCGACCTTGTCCTCTGGCCTACCTCAGCCACTCACAACCATGACCAGACTGCAGTCTCGTCACCAGTAATCGCTTCGTCTCTTCTAAAGTTTCGACTTCACGCATCCTGGTCCTGGTTACCCTTACGGGCATGCTTTCTGCTCACTTCCTGGAGCGCCGCTGAGAGCCTTCGGGTCACTCCAGCTCCGACTCCTTCCATCCTGTTCTTCTGGCAGAACTGCAGCCCCAGCGAGCTCCAGCTCTCCGCCCCTGGGAGCTGCGTGCTCCCGGGGCAAGTGGCCTGCCGCCCTGAGTGTTCCCTCTCTCACTTCACGGACTCAAACTCCAGGTGGGTCCCAACAGTCTGGAGCCGATCAGGCAAGAAAGAAACTACTCCAGGCATCTACACAGCAGGGATCCCATGCCGGGGAGGGGTTCCGTATGTGAGGGATGGACTGAGATGTGAAATGGGCCTCATCCAAAGGTCTACCTCCTCACACCGTCACGTCGGGAGTTATAATTTCAGCATATGAATTTCCTGGGCAGAGGGGAAACGAACATTTAGCCTGTGGCACCATACATATACAGGGTAGGGCGAAAGTAGGTTTACAGTTGTTGGCATGGAAAATGATACAGTAATTATTTAAAAACAATACAAGAATAAGCCCCGTGTTTCACGTACAACTGTAAGCCTACTGTTGCCCCGCCCTGTACAGTAGGGCGTTTGGCAGGAGTCTGACCGTGCGCAGTGGCGGGAGCGGGTTACTCCATCCGCACGCGGCTGGTGCTTCTGTCGCTGGGGCCTGCAGTCAGCTGGGCAGGCAGCTGGGAGGGGGAGATGGGAGGAACCGCGGCTGACTCAGACAGGCATGCGCTCCGATGCGCATGCGCGGGCGGTGTGGCTGCTGTGATGTGTGCGCGTGCTGGGTAAGGGGAGGGGAGGGATATGTTTGGGGTACTGCCCACCAGTTGCTGTGGGGAAGGATTCTCTCCACCACCCAGCCCGGCTGCTGCCCTCTGTCTTCAGGACACTCTATTCCCTGATGTGGGTGGGACCAGAGTCCGGGACGGAGAGAAAATAGAATCAGAGATGTGGGTTAGCAGTCGGATGGGGAAGGAAGAAAGAAGCATATTCATTTATAGTCTGCGGAGAGCCAACCAAGCATCGCTGTGGGAGACGGGGCCAGGCAGAAGGCTTCACTTTCCTAAATAGAACTCTGTTTTGACATTCTCCTTGCAGCTGTTTTCCCCACGCCTGTCTGTCTCGCCAAGTGCGCCCTTAAAAAGAAGCAGGATTTGAGCCTCGCACTGCGCCATCTGGTGGCGCTCAGGGACAGGCACAGCGGCTCTGTGCGCACAGTCACGTCTCCCAAAACTTACAGAGATGCCTTCTGTTCTGTAAGGAGTCGTGGAAACAAAGGCTCTTGGGAAGAAAGTGAGCGTGCAAAGAGCTCTGGCTTGGAGCCAGACGAGGACTCTGGCCTTATTAGCTGCACAATCTTGGGCAAGCAGGTTAGTCTCTCTGTGTCTCCCTTTCCTCGTGTGAAAAATACGGGTCACTGATACTGAGAGGATTTTGTGAGGGTTCATGACGATAAAACCCCAGAACATCACAGTATTTGGCTTATGGTACCTCAGTACACATGTCTTCCTTTTCCCTTCATCCTTCCTTCTTGTATTTTCCACCCCTCGTGTGATTTTGTAAATAACTGAAGTTGTTACTGCTAAGGGCACTGCCTTTTTGACTTTAGTTATTTATTTTTAAAGAGGAAGAGAAACATCGAGTGTGGCTGCCTCTTGTGCACCCCCTACTGGATGACCTGGCCTGCAACCCAGGCATGTGCCCTGACTGGGAATCAAACCAACGACCCTTTGGTTCCCAGGCCGGTGGTCACTCCACTGACCCACACCAGCCAGGGCTGCCTTTTTTATTCTAGTGGTGGGGCCTGGGGTGAGGCATCTGGAAGTACCTGAACCTGTGTGTTCAGGTACTGTGTGTTAGGATGACAGGATGGAGTGGGTCACAGGAGACCACCCAGGCTCTGCCCTTGATTCCTATCAAAGCTGGTGTCCTCGAGTTTGACCTTGACTTATTTCAAAGGAGGACCCTGCCTACCTATGGTCAGGGACGGGAGGTGGCAGGCCCATGCACCTTTTGAGATCTCCTGCAAGCCTGTGAATGCTGCGCCTGTGGACTAAAGCAACACCGATTATGTAAACGATGCCAAGCGGGCTAACATTCTGCACACGTGGAACATTTGCAGTTTGTGTTAAAGGTGAAACAGGAGAGAGGAGAGTTGCACGTGGAGAAAAGATTCCAATGTATTTAAAAATAATGAAAATATTTTCCCCATGCATTAAAAAAATCTGACAGTGTCTCTCCTGCCAGCCCCGGGCTGCAGGGCATGTGCCCGTATGTGGTGGATCTGCCGATGCCACACTCCCTCCCGGGGGCTGCCTCGGACAGTAGTATTGAAATGCATGGTTCAGCTGGGCAGAGGTCCCAACCTCAGACCTAGAAAATGGTCATCACACAGGAAAGAAGAATCAGGGGTGGATCCTAAGCCCTCTTGGAGCCCAGCAGTCTTGAGATCGATGACCTTGACTATCTTTGGTGACCTGGGCCCTTCTTGCCATATCCAGTGGACTCATAGGCATTTCCAATGGAGTCGGCCCCTCCTTCTGTCTAATTCTTGTATTAGTGAATGGCACCATCATGAACCTACCTGGTTGCTCAAGTCAGAAACCAGAACTGTGGGAATCCTTAAGTCCTGCTTCTCCTCTGTCAGACACACCCAGGGCACCGAGCCCAGTGCCCTCGGCCCCATCGCTCCGCTGAATCTTCAGCCGCCCGCTCCACGCAGGGCTCCGCCGTGGCCGGCTAACTCCCTGGGGGGTATCTGTAATCTGCCACGTGAGCACTGCCAGCCAAACCGTGTGCCGGCTCCTGCCTGAAGTGCCACACTGCAAGCAAGGGGTGAGGTCGGGGGCCGGGGCCGCGGGATGTAATTAGGAAGGCTGAGTTGTTAACTTGTAACTCGAGGTTGTTCCCATGACTACTCAGGTGTGACAGATGACCCCGAATGGGGTTTAGAGCAATTGTTTAATCAGGTTCACACATTATGTGGGTCAGTAGGACACAGTTGGTTGTTGGTGTCTGAGGCCAAAGCCGGGAGACTCAACGGCTGGAAGCAACTGTGCACTAGAATCCTCTGAAAGCGTCTTCACTCACAGGCGCAGCGGGGCACGCTGGCCGTGGGCTGGGACCAGCCAGCGTGGTGGCCCTAGGGTAGCTGACTTCCTTCCTACTAGCAGCCCAGGGCTCTAAGCGCAGTGCCCCAGCGAGCAGGCAGAGGCCGCAGGGCCGTCACTGTGTCTGCGTCCTCCTGGCCGCGAGCGAGGTGTTATGGCCCGTCCAGAGTCACAGGAGAGGGTGCAGTCCCACCTCATGATGGGAGAAATGTCTACAAATTTGCAGATATGTTTAAACACTGTCCCCGGGAAACTGCTCAGTAAGAGGTGGGCGATGGCAGATGAATTCTCCTTTCCTCCCGCGGCAGGGCTGTTCTGAGGGGCAGCTTCTCCAGCAGCCCCTCCTGAGTGGCGGGTGGGTTGAGGTGGGGGGTGTCCAGTGGCTCGCTGTGTGTCCCCCAGTCGATCTAGGGCAATGGTTCAGCAGGACGCTCCCCCACTTCGCTGCCTTGGTATCGCACCATCCACGTGGAGCAGCAGACTTAAGCCCCGCCTCAGCTCTGCTGCCTCAGACAGCGTGGGCTGGGCTGCCTGCCACAGCCAGTCTGTCCCCACATCTGACTGGTTTGCTCTTTCAAGTATCTTTCTTGTCCATTCACTTTTCTCTGCCCACGGACATCCCCTCCCCTGCCCCCCCAGGCTGGGCCACCATCTCGTCTTGCCTACAACAGGCTTACAGACAGACCCATTTATGTCCACACTGGTGCCCCCCATCAGTCCACTCTGAGGTCAGAGGGGTCTTTTGGAAACCAGTCTCATCACAAAGTCTCTGGCTTAAAACTCTGTAGCGGCTCCTCACTCTCACGGTACAACCGGGCTTCTCTCCCTCTGCATTGCTGATGTTTTGGGTGGGATCATTTCTTGTTGCGGGCACCACCCCGTGCAATGTAGAATACTTCGAGACACCCTGACCGCTACGCACTAGATATCAGCAACTCTATTCCCCAGGTGTGACAAGGAAAAGTGTCTTGTCATTGCCAACTGTCCCTGGGGGTTGGGGGGCTGGGGGGTAACTAAACCACCTTGGTGGAGAGCATCTGGTCTGAAGCATGCACACTCACTGCGGCCCTGTGTGGGTGGGCCCTGGCTCACCAGACACAGGTCTCTGTGCAGAAGCCACCTTGGACTTTTTTCAGATTTCTTTGATCATGTCATGGCTTTCCCCTTTTTGGGTCTTTTTACTGCTGTTCCTCAGCTCTAAGTTCCCTTTTCACATGCCCACCCCAGTGCACACACCTGCATGCCATTCACCCAGCTAACCTGTGTTACAGCCCTAAGCCGAGGTTGGCACATTTGTGAAAGCTCTTGTGGCCCGCAGACTAGGCCGGTCCCCGGGTGCACGCTCCCATGGCCCCGGGACTTGCCCCTGACAGCATTCAGCACAGTGGTGGAGGATGCACTGGCTTTGTGCAGCCTCACTAACTCCGGCGCTCACGCCCCTGGAAACGCCACCAGAGCAGGGCTGCTGCTGTCTTGCCCCGTCCTGACTCCCGGGGCTCAGCCCAGCGCTGGGCCTATGGCGCATGCTCAGTGCGCTCGATAATGAAAGAACGGATACTGCTTATACACAGTCTTGAGAATACCTCCAGATTCCAGATTCCTTCCTTCCTTCCCGTGCTTTAGATTGTTCTCCGCCCCGGTGGAGCCGGCCCTCTCTGCTGTTCTACCAACCAAACCGTCCGCCTGACCCAGGAATCTCTGCGGACTCTGCCCAGCTCTCTGACCTGCTCCATTTGCAAAGAGTTCATGCAAAGTACTTTGCAGACCACTATTTAATTTTACCAAACCCCTCTAGAAGCCAGAGGGGCATTGAAGATCAAAGTCCGAGATAGGGCTCTTGATTCACAACATATATATCACAAAACGGACCCTCGCCCCTTGGCTGCTGTGTCCAGGAGGTGGGACTCCCCCTGACTGACCGCCTCCCGCAGTCTCCAACGCGGATGCCACCTTGGAAGGGTCCTGTTTTGGACCCTTTCTTGCTGGAACTGCGTCTCTGGGACAGAGTCTGTGTTTGGCTTGTGTCTAGTTTTGAGTGGGTCAGGACTAAGGCTTAAGTCCTGGCATTTTTACATTTAAACACCGAGAGTTTGAAGTTCTGACGTGTCATGGGGCTCTTGCCAGAAAGGGCCACTCTGATGATCTCTGCAACCCTGATGTGTTTTAGGACATCGATGAGGTGTGGTTTTGGCCAACAGTTTTTGTGAACGGGCTTGTTCCAGTTCTGCTGCTTCTGAGGGGCCTCTGGAAAGCGGGAGGAGGGAGCTGGGACAGAGAGGCCCCTGGCTGACCCTTCCTGAAGCTCCAGCTTCCAAGGGGTTGAACCCTGAGTTCCGGTCACCTGGGATCTACGCCCCCTAGTGGTGAGACGAGATATAACCTCTGCTAGAAAGGACCCAGTGGAAGCCACAGCTCTGCGGTGAGAATCTCCCAGCTGCGAGTTAGGGTCAAGGTGAGAGGGGCTGGTGGGTCCTCCGAAAGAGGATGGGAGGTGGGGTCGTGGAGGTGGGCGCAGAGAAGGGCAGTTGGAGCTGTTCTGTCTGGAACTCGGTCCCGGATAGGATAAGCAGGAAGAAGGGATGAAATGAACACAAAATAATATTCAATGTAAACTCATTGAAAAAAAATTTAAGAATTCAAAAACTGAATGAAAAACATTAAAGACTTTATCAAAGACAAATAAAAAAGATTGATTAAAACTTATTTTTATAAAAGGAAAAGAAGAGAAAAGAAAACCGGGCATGCTGTATTTGACATTCTTTGTCCTCTCGAGAAGGCGGCAGAACAGAGCCGTGTCACGGTGTCACACGAGTGGCACCTCCGTTTGGAGCAGGCGGGGATTTTCGCCGTGCTCTGCTGCGTTCCTTCTTCTGCAGGACCTGGGCGGCCCACGCCGCGGTCCGCTCGGTGTTTCCCCGAGCCCCCGCTGTAACAGGTTGTGCCGCTGTCTTGCAGCGACCGTGGCTGGGTGTGTCGGCCCAGACGCAGGCTTAGCGTCAGGTTTCGAAGTCAGAGCTGCTTTTAACTGTTTGTCCTTCATCTGCGTTTGTGTTTTTCCATCAAGCAGGGATAGCTGCCCGTTCCTTTAACAAGCCCCAGAGAGACAGGGAAACCACAGTAACCGCCACCCCCCACCCCATTTTTTTAAGTAGCCCAATCGCTCAGCGCCATAGTGTGCTGGGTTTTACTGTCCACACAGGACGCCAAAGAGAAACGCAGTGTTTTAGGTGCATGCAGAGGAGGTAAGCCCTCCTTCGGCGGGCAGAAATCTCTCAGTAAGTTCCCTGAGGCAGTCGCTGGGCACCTAGCTGTCATCAAATCCGAGCGATCTCTCGGTTAAACTGGTGTGTGTGGAAGAGCGCCACCGGCTGGTCTAACGGGAGAACCGCGGATCTGGATGCACCTTGCAGCCAGGCACTGAGCTGCCAGCACAGGTGGACCCAGCGTGGGGCTAACCGAGGTGCAGGTCCAGCCGCGCGTGTCTCTGCTGGTACCTCGGAGCAGCCCTTGGCCCCAACTCAGCCTCGATTTCCCTCCCCCGTCTGTCTTCTCCTCCCTCTTCACCCCGCATCCCTGAAATTCCTCCTTGTGGGAAAAGCTCCCATCCTTGATCATTCTGCCTGGGCTGCACTCCAAGGCCCACCAGGTCCGGGCCCTCCCAGCCTCCCCTCTTCCCTCCTGCTGCTCCAGAACCTTCTGCTCGGCTTCCTCCTTCTCCCTGGGCTCCACTGGTGCCGCTTTGGCTTCTACCGGCTATTCTGCCTCCAACCTCACCCCAAACGGGTATGTCACAACCTTTCCTCTTCCGGGGGCAGTGAGATGGGGTGACGAGGCAAGCCCCCGAAGCCCTCTGGGGTTGTTTCCTTATCTGTAAAATAGGAACAGTTTGCAACTCATAGGAGTGCTGCGTGGGTTACGCGAGGCTGCGTATGTTTAGCTGGCATGCAGTAGCTGCTCCCGATGGATCCTGGAGGAGACCTCGGAATCCTCACGGCCGCATCACCGCAGGCGAGGGGAGCCGTGAGGGCCACACTGAGAAATCCTGGTTAAGATGGCCGCGCTCCACCTGGCTGTGCGTTAGAATCGCCTGGGAAGCTTTAGAAAGGTCCAGGTGCCCAGGCTGGGGCCCAGACCCATGAAATCAGAAATGCTGTGTGTGGGGAGAGCCCGACATCAGTACTTTAGATGGGGTGACTGCAGTGTGCAGCCAGTGAAGAGCAGAGGAATCAGCGGGACTTGACCACACTGACTTTGAAAAAGGCACTATAACCTCTGAGCCTCAGTTTCTCTGTCTGAACAACGGGAATAAAACATGCACTTCATTGTTTGATTATGCAGATTAGCTGAGACAGTTCTGTGCGGTGGTGGCCCAGGGCTCAGACCTTCCCTTGTGTTGACTGGAATTGGGAGCTGGCGGTGGCGGTGGACAGCAGAGGCCCCCGGCCCTGTCCCAGCCCCGAGCCTCTCCAGAGTGCTCGGTCCCCTGGGCTCAGGGCGCTCCCGTCTCTGGCTGCTCTGGTCCCAGGAAGCTGATGAACGTAGCTCTGAGCACAGCCCCCGGGGAACCTGGCCTCGCCCCACCAGGTAAGGAGTTCATGCCCACCACCTTGTGTTAAAGTACTTAATTTCCAATATTACTCAGTCAAAAAAGTTACTGGGCTGGCCAAAAAGTCTGTTTAGTTTTTTCCATAATATAAAGGACACAGTTTTCCTTTTTCACCAATAATTTTATTGAATTGGCTATTGTGATTGTATCGGCTATCTCCCATGTGGTATAATGTTAATCATTCTCAACTAATGTTTCAGTTTGATCACTATGAACTTCAGCTGGTCTACCTAACCATGGAACATTGTCCAGAGAGAAATCTGCAGCATGAAACTTCAGAAACCACATTCGACATGTTTGATCAGTCACAGCACCGTCTCCATACACTGCACAAGGTTTTTTTTGTTTTCACCTTTCTTGAAATAATCAAGCATGAACATAATAAGCCAAAAATGTTGCATATTTTCTCCCATCTTCACTATTAAAATGGCTGCACAAAAATTCACCAATTTTGATCAGTTTTTTAAAGGCATGCTGATGTGACAGCTGTCCCAATACGAGCTAACAAAATTGTTTCAAATGAAGTTAAAGACAACTAAATGCTACTACAACCATTGTAGGGAAAAAAATGAACTTTTGGCCACCCCAATAAAAGGAGGAGGCCAACCAGAGCATAAGCTCCTTTAGTTACATGCATGTTACCTGCCAGGTCACAATTTGTTTACGGGGACAATTTGGACACACGGGCCAGTTAGAATGTTGTTGGTGTGAGGCCATGTCTGAGGTCTAAGTGTTCAGCTTACAAGTCCTCTTTCGGGCATCAGTTGAGAGTTGGTGAGTGTGAGAGTGTGTGAGCATACATGAGTGTGCAAGTGTGCATGGGTGAATACGAGTGTGGTATGTGTTTTGAATGAGAACATGGGCATTTTGTGTATGTGTGTTTACGAGTGTGTATGAGTGCACATATGGGTGCATGTGAATCTGTGAGTGTGAGCACCTGTGTGTGTTTATGCGTGTATATGGGTGTGTGTGAATCTCTGTGTGAGCATATGTGTGAGTGTGTTGCTTGGTGTGTGTTTATGAGTTTGTTTATGTGCATGGGTGTGTGTATGAATGTGCGTGAATCTGCGTGTTTGTGTGGGAGCCCCTGTGCGTGAGTGTGTTTATGAGTGTGTATGGGTGTGCACAAGAAGGTGTGAAATCTGTGTATGACGGTGCGTGTGTGCGGAGGGCTGGCTGCCGTGTGTGCTCACCACAGTCGACGATGACCATTTCTGACTCTGCTCCCCAGGCCCAGGTCCTGCTCCACTCCACCCTCCCCCGAGCCCTCCGTAAACTGAAGACGACCGGCTGAGACCTTCTATTTCCGTCAAAAGCCATTTTGAAGCAATTCTACACTCTGCTTTCATTCTCCCGGGAAATCTGCACAGTCTGAGAAATTATAAGGCGTTCTGCTCTGTCGAGTGCCCTTCCCAACAAACAGATCCTGTCTCTCCTGCACCCCCGGGGCAGGAGGGGGGTGACAGAGAGACCCCGCCCGGGTCTGGGCTGTTTGGGTCCCTCCCACTCTGTCACTGACTCACCAGAGGGGCCCCAGATGGCCAGCAGCACAACCTCTCCCGGAGAAAATGCGTCTGGGGCCTCCCCCAGCCCTGTCCCACGCTGCTAGTCCAGGTGACTAGCTCCCAGCCTGTGCTCTTTTTACTGCGCTGCCCTGGGGCTCACCTCTATTTTCCTCTCCTTTCTGCTCTTTTTTCTCTGTCTCTGAGCCTTGATGGGACATTCCTGGCTTTCGGTGACAGGCAGGAATGCCACTCAATGTCACTGCCTGAGGCTGACCGTGACCCTCTGCCCTTGGCCCCCTGTACCTTGGGTTTCCACACCCATGTCACAGAGCAAGCTGCCATTTTCTGCCCCTTCTGTCCCTGAAGGGGCAGAAAATATTCTGCAGGGTTGCTGCAATTTTTTCTCTAAAGTTTTGCAAAATGTGGGTTGGGTGTAATTTTAAATTTGGTTTGTCTGAGCTTTGTTTAAACACCTGCTGTGTGGTTATGGGGTTCTTCCCACCAGGCACTGCAACACACTCCAGGCCCAGGGAGAGTGAATATTAAAGTCTAGAGCAGGGGTGTCAAACTCATGTTCACAGGGTCGGGGGGCACATCAGCCTCGAGGTTGCCTTCAAAGGGCCGAATGTAACTTTAGGACTGTGTACATGTAACTACTCCTTAACTAGGGGCAAGGAGCTTGGCATTGTCGCCAGGGAGAAACAAGGTGCAGGGCCGGACAAAACAAGGTGGAGGGCCGGGTTCAGTCCTCGGGCCTGGTGTTTGCCACCTGTGGGCTAGAGCCACGCCACCCTGAATGTGCCTGATCTTGTAGGGTGAGTGCTATGGTCATCGATCTCTGTGATCACTGTGATTATCTGTGGGTATCCCGGGGAACCGGTGCTGTCGGCTGCAGGGACAGCAGAAAGCAGAGGACACTGCCCCTCTTGGAGGGGTAGGGATAGGACAGAGAGAGATGAGGCCAGGGGTAGTTTGGGGGGACATTGGTCTGAGAGAGGATGTGCCTGTAGTTAAATATATCACCTCTTTTCATCTTATTTCATACAGAAGTAATTTCAGTTAGAGTTTACATTTCACGACAACAGCTCCATCACAGGATTGGGAGTTTTTCTGTGTTTGGTTTTCTTTGTGGCCAGACCGTGGCTTCTCTGCTTTGCCTTACCCAGAGTAGAATTTGGGGAACAAACAGGGATTAAACTCATACGCTAAACTCTCAGAAACACTTACACGTTTGTTTTGAATTTATATAGGTAATATGCCTATTTTAAAAACACTGTACAATAATTAGCAATATTCTGCTTCTTGTTTTTCTTGCAAAAACGTGAAGAACAGGACACACCCCAGGAGGATCCTTGTGTACGACCGTCGGGGAGAGTTTTTTTCTCCTTGGATCCACCCGGGGAAAACGTCCAGAGAAGCCCAGCTTGTCGTGGGTTTTTGCTGATGCCAGGGCAGCGTTTTAGCCGTGCGGTCACCTGGGAGTTCTATCCCCACACGAGGTGCCGAACATTTAATCACCCAAGCTCCGTTGTTGTATACCTTCCTGGAGGCAGAAACTAGCTGCCCTTTCAGAACGCGCAAGGGCGTGGGGCTTCAGAGCGCTTGGGCACTTTTTTTTTCTCGTGTCAATCATCTCTTAGGACCTGGGTCTGGGGACTGATTGGCATTAGGTGGGAGGAGTCAGTAGGGAACCTCAGGAAAGGGGAAAGGTAGCGATTCACCGGGGGAGACACAAAGGTTGCTCTGGAGATGTCTGTTTTTTAAAGAAAACTAGCTCTCTAGCAGGGATGTGCCCAGGTTTCTCAGAACAGGAGTGGTGAGCATCTGAAGGTTTCGGATGTGAGGCGGGGGCCGCGTCCCCCTGCTCACCTCTTCGCCTGGCTGTTCCAGGTTCTGGAACCACCTGCTCACTTGGAGAGCTTCTGCCCCCACGGGCCCAGCCCAGACCTCCCCCGTCTGGCCTGCCCTTTGGGAAGTTCTTTTAGTTGGTGGTCATGTGGGTTCAGGGCAGCCGGCTTGCAGCCTGGGAATCTCCGCTGTGTACCCAAGGCCAAAACCATTCAGTCAAGCGCAGGAGAAAGTTTGGGTGCGGCCTCGCACTTCTAGGAGTCGTCTTCTTGCCTGGCTTTCGTCTTCTGTGGTTTCCAGGACAAATCAGAGCAGGGGGGCCTGCAGAGACCATCAGGGCGTTGTGCCAAGGCCTGGTTTACGGGTATTCGTGCATCGATTCTGGTATTCCGTATTCCCTCTTGTTAGACACAAGGTAACAGGCCCCAAATGGAGTCACTCACGCTGAGCACCCGCACCAGGCTTAACTACAGCTTTGGCTCTGGGGTCGCACACCCGTCCGTCAGAGCGAGTGCCTCGTCAGCACTAGGTAGGTAACCGGCCTGCTCAACCCCTGCCCGCCCCTAAGGGAAAGTGACTTTGCAGTAACTATTTGCTTTCATCTAGTCTGACTTCCTTGTTCCTGCTCCTGCTGCGGTGAAAGTCTTTCACTTTGTGCGGCTCCTCAGAGCTCCTGCTTATCTGCTAGATGGTGTTTTGCCCGATTCACAAGTGGCCGAATGAAGCCAATAAGATCTTCAAAATTTACCCAGTTATCATTTTCTAGTACTATGTATGTATGTGTGTTTCTTGGGATTCTCCTTTGAGCTGGTTAAAATGTCACACTGCTTCCCTCATTAGTGAGTTCAATAAAATCTTTGATGTGTCTTCATTTTGTATTTGCCCGAGAGGCCTGATTTTTACCTTTTAACAAATATCTTTTACCATTGGGTACCTAACATGCTAAGGACTTTTCCAGGTACTTTACACACTTGTTTGACAAACACACAGCACACGGTTTTAGCAGCCGTGTGCTATTTATTGTAAGTGCTTTATGATTAATGTTAACTAACTCAACCCTCGTCACAGCCTATTTCATTTCATCCTCCCTTCGGCCCTCATCAGCCGGTCTGAACCAGCCGAGGCTCCCGCCCGCCCGAGGAGGTGGGACAGGCAGGGCCTGGACCGGGAGCTCGGGTGCAGCCTGCGTGGGACCGAGACACGCTGGCCCTCCCGCGGGCTCTGGGGCTCCCTCTAAGTGCGCCGAGACAAAGAAGGGACCCCAGCTTTGTTTTGAGGGAAGCCGCATCTTTAAAGAGCATAACTCATTTGCAGAGTTGGGCGGTGCTGATGCATCGGGATGCCCCCAGCTGCGGAAGGACCCGCCCCCACCTGGGCGGTGGTGGTGGGGCGCTGCTCCCAGAGCGGAGGGGTCTACCCCAGCACCGCGCTGTGTCTCCCCTCGGAGGTCAGCTTGGAATACTGCTCCGCTTCTTCCCTCCCGGGCCTCTGCCTTCTCACAATTTACAATCTAGTGGCACGAACTTGCAGTTACGGAATCCCTAAGTCCCCGGGGGTGCAACGTGCAACGTGGTGACTGCAGGTGACGATGTGGTGTCGTGTGTTTGAAAGTTGTATCACAAGGAAAAAAAGGTAAAATCGTGAGGTAATGAATATTAACTATATTTATTGGTGCGATCATTTTGTGATAGATACAGTGTTGAATCAGGTTGTAGACCTGAAATGAATACAGTGTTTTATGTTAATCATATCTCAAAGAAAAAAAACACCCACCCGTGGTCCCCGTGATCGGGGCAGTGTCCGGGTGACTGGGGGAAGCCGGGGAACCGGGAGAGGGCCCAGATGGGGTGCGTTGGACCTGGGTTCAAAGTCAGGGTCTGCTATTTACTGGGGACTAGAGTTAGGATCTTTTTAAATTAGATAAGCATTTAAATCTCAATGGGATTAAACAAATGATTTTCTATCTTTTATTTTTCTGCAAGAAGTGAGAAAGGTCTCAGCAAGGCCTTGGAGCTGTGGGGGAGGGGAAATTGTTTTACTGCAAGTGCTTTTGCTGGAGGCGAATTGGGCAGCGGGGGAGGGTGGGGGAAGGTGGGGGAGGGTGGGCAAGCCCAGCTCAGGAAGCCACTCCCAGGCCAGAGGAAGACCTGCGACTGGCAGCCCCAGCCCTGCTGGCTCTCCTGATTCCTGTCCCAGAGCAAAGGTAACTCAGCTGCTGGGATTATCTTCTTGGCTGGTTTTGTTTGCCTTATAAGAAAGGTCGCCAAAGCGCCCGTGTTATCTTCCCCTGATTTCCGCAGCTAGTTCCGCGGAGCAGAACGTTCCCTGGGAGGATGGCTGAGAATTCGATCTTGCTGGCCGCTGTGTCTGTCCTCTCTGTCTGTCAGCAGGGTAAGAGTCGGGGCAGTGTGTGCGCGCGTGCACGCGCGTGCGTGTGAGTCGGGGGCAGAGGGAGGGGAGGGCCGGTGTCCGGGTTTCACACTTACTCGCCAGTGGCCCTGGGCGCTCAGAAGCCCGGAAGACGGGGTCCGCTCAGGGTCACCTCCCTTCTTCCCTGGGGCGGGGCAGAGGTTTGGAGATTTGGACTGTTGCAGGGGTTACTTCCCACCTGTGCGTACAGCTCTCAGCCCAGGCCAGTGGGCATGAGGAGCGTGCTGACCTGGGGAGAGTGGACTCTGGGTACTAATTACAAGAGCTCCAAAGGTCACATTGTGCCTGCCTGTGAACTCTGGCTGGGCTTTCTAAAACTCTGATCTATTCATTAATATGTTTTCTTAAGTAAACTGCTTAAGGCAGGTGATTATCAGGTTAAAAAAAAGTCTCCCGCAGAAATAGGAGCTTCGGAGTAAGGACTGAATTCTAAATTGTAAAGCCCCTCCCCACTAGGATTGTTCCGTATCTCAGTTGCCTGGCTAAATAGAGGGCTTTTCCCTCGGCGGGATCAATGCTCAGTTCACAGTCTGTCACGGTGAAATGGGGAAGAGCCTGAGAGCACTGGCGGGCGGGGCTTCCTACCAAGTGCACGCATTTCTTATCTCCCCAACGGTGCTCTCCCCGGACTCGGGGCAGGGGTGCTCCCTGCAAGGAGGTGCCACGGCTGCGGGGAAAGTCCAGCCTGCACCCACCCTCAGCGCCTTGCCCAGCCAGTCTGTGGATTCATGGAACTATCACCCCTGAAGACACACAATTTGTGGTTTGAGTTACAGCCATGTCTGGAGTTGGGCGGGATGTTTGTGACGGACCCCAGAAGCACACAGACCTGCACAGAGGCACGGCCACCCGAGGGATCCCCTGGTCCCTGAGCTGCAGAATCCACCGGCGCCGGTTGGCTGTGCGGGACGGTGCCCAACAAACCGAGCCACGCCCGACGGGGCTGGCAGTTTCCTGATCTTCCCTCTGCTGCTGTCTCAGGCTTCAGCGAGGTGACCCCGGTCTGAATGGGAAAGGCTTCAGTAGTGACTCTTGACACACTGAGACGTTCAGCGCCAGCCTTTTAAAGCCCCCATGGCAGCTTCTTAGCAGTAGAGGGGGGTCAAGGGGAGGGAAGTGGCCTGGTGCGAGAGCCCCTCCTAAACCAGGGTCACCGATGTCTCACCTCTTGTCGGAGGGGAGAGCAGAGC